CATTTCAAATTCTAAAGTCTCTAAAATGTCCCCTAGGCTTTTATTACCACATCTCTGATATCTTATCACTCTTATTTATATGTCCTTTTCTCCCTACTAAACTCTTCAAGGGCAGGCACACAGTTGTCTCCATACCTGGGTTCCCAGCACCTGGTACCTATCATGAAGGTAATTAAAGGTCCCCAGTAACTCTACCCAAAAAAACCAAACCCTCTGCTGTCTAATTGATTGTAACTTGTAGCAACAATTCAGGGCAGAGTAGAACTGCTCTTTATGGTTTGCAAGGCTGTAAATCTTTACAGAAGTAGACTTGCCTCATCTTTCTCTTGCAGAGTGGCAGATGAGTTCAGACCACTGACCTTTTTGGTTAGTAGCCAAATGCTTTAACCATTTCACCACCAGAGCTCCTTGATAACTTAACAGTGAGGGATAAAAAGGGACTGAAGTGTAATGAAAAGGTTATTTCAGTTAGAGATTGCCTTGAGTACAAATCCAAAATTACAGTGAGCTCTCTGTTTCTTCATTCACTAGTGCTTCTGTGAGGTTTGATGGAACTTTACTACTTTCTCTTCCTACTTCATGCTGGGCCACAGCTTGTCTTTCAGTTTGAGGAAAACCAGAATAATTCATTTGCAGTGTGTGTGTAAACACAGCAATTGTGCAAATGCTGATGTTCCAGGAAAGCCCAGGAGTGTATCTTTGCCCCACTTCCTGCTGTCATCAGTAGATGGAAAAAGAGCCAAAGAAGAGGAATGCACCCTCAAAGCAAAAAGTTCAGTCCCTGCTCTAGTTACTTGTTTGATTCCCTTGAATTGAGTTTCATAAAAAGAAATTACATGGAATCTAAACAGTCCCATCAATTTCTGTTTTAATATTCTGTGTATAAAATTGCAGGTTTCCAATTTACCATTGATTGTGGTAACTAAAATGTTCTGTGGATTTAAAATTATTTTTAATTTCTGTTTAATATACAAACTTTTTTTAAAAAACAAAAGTGCAAATAATTTTTCACATTTTAATATTGAATTTTATAGGTATATGATGATGGCAAATACGTATATGTAGTAACAGAACTTATGAAAGGGGGTGAATTACTGGATAAAATTCTTAGACAGAAATTTTTCTCTGAACGAGAGGCCAGTGCTGTCCTATTTACCATAACCAAAACTGTTGAATATCTTCACGCACAAGG